CTTAAAAGATGGAAATATACCTGCCCAGGAAATGCTCCTGTGCAAGCCTCCTGGGGAGCTGGTCAGGCCCACGGCCGAGAAGGAGGCCACTGTGGAGGGAAAACCAAGGAAGGAGCTACATCCAAAGGGAAGAGAGGAGAGACAGACAGACAATATGGAGGGGAGGGGGGGGAAATAACTGCAACAACTAATGAATGTGTGTAAAAGCCCAGACTCAGAAGCAGAGATGGATGAATAGGACACCTGAAGTTTCTAATGTTTTCTGCAGTGGATGATTTAGAAAATAGAAAGGGGGGGGGGAGAGAGTGAATTTATATACTACTAAATAACTTTCTCTAACAGAGGCATCTTTCAAGATTTTCACTATAAATTGTAATTTCCTGCTAGGAAAGACAAAGTTAATTTTCCACCATTTCAGTGATCAGATAATTATGTAGCTTTGATAATTCAGAATTCTAAATTTACTCCTCTCTGAACTCACTGAATCCTGTAAGGATTGCTACCCTTGTTTGAGAATTAGTTCCTAAACAGGCGCTTAATGCTTAAATTAAATACTGAGTTGTAGTTATCATTATGTGAGGTAGCCAATTTGTGAATATGCAAAAATCAAAGGATGTTAGGTAAATTGTGACTTTTAAAACATTTCATAATACTATCATTTATGATAAACTCAGTTTTGGCAAAACAGTTTTTAAAAGATTTGTGGAACTTAAAATCAATTTCATTTACCTCATAGAATGTAAAAATTATTATACCATACTGAAAGTACAAATCTATACCTGATTCATTGCAATTAAGTTTTAACTTAGTCACTTTTCTGAACTTGTTTTGATTATGATATTTTTTCTGGAGTCTTTTCTATTATATTATTAACATAGATGTGCACACGCACACATTTACGGGGTTTCTTAGTTACATATTATTTTTTAAAAAGCAAGCACAAAAATACATTTTCATATGTACATTTTGTATATATTTGAGAAAACATTTTCTTCTCAAATGCAGTGTGTTTTTACATACTGTATTTACTACAATTAATGTATTGGTGTGTAATTTCACACATACATTATTGTATCTTATCTGATAGAAAACCTGCATCTTTATGTCTGGAAAAGTAACTATAGCAAAACATGCAGCATACCCATGTTTTGAATAGTGAAGTAAATAGAATGAAAGCAATAATCTTTTCACACAAAAATTGTTACTGTGTCAATTTTATGTGTTAAATTTAAATTTACCGACAAAGAATTAAAGGGAGACTGTCAATTTTATATAATTCGTAATCATCATTATCCTTCTGAGCAAATCTATAGCTCTAAAGTTGTTTTAAAAATTAGAGTATTCAGCAGTGAAAAGAAAAAGTTTGACAAGTCAATTAGACTGTCCTTCTGGACTGTAAAAGTATAAATTCATAAATCTCGTAATTTAATTAAAGAATGCAAAGGAAATATAAAAGTAAGTAGACAACTGAGTGAAGTAAACTTTAATGAAAGCCTGAAAGTTTGGCTCCTGTAACTCTCATCCATCATGATCTGCCATAAAGGCTTTCAGGAAAGGGTGGACAAAACTAGGCCCTGACAGTGAAAAATCATTAGCAATCATCCCTTTGTAGAAAAGAGGAAAGTTAAAGCAGCATCTCCTCCTCCAAAGAAATCCAACTGTCTCCCTTAACCAACCTCAGTGTCAGGCCCAAAAAATCGGGAGCACGCATTTAGTTCCAGACTTATTGTTTGTGCCTTTGCACAAGAATCTAGTCAACTAATGGCTCAACACTAAACTGGCACTAGGTAAGAGTTAATACACTTCGGGGGGGGCTGTGGGACTTGGACCGCCCGTGGGAACATAAGGACTCCAGAGCGGTTCCTTTTCTGGCTCCACACCCAGGCCCTGCCTCTTCTCCTACCTACACCGTGGCTGAGATTTTTTATCTCCCCCCCACCAGATGGGAACTGGGGAAAGCCGAGCCAGCTTAGCGATGGTGGCATTGAGAGCAGAGTAGAGAAGTTACAGGCTCATCCTGCACTTGATATAATTTCTCAAGCTGCTTTGAGATGACTGTCACTGTCCACAAGCCAGACCGAGAGTCTTGTCTTCTTCTTCAGATGGGAGCATCAGAACCACTGAGTCCTACACCAGATGAGAAACTAGATTGTAGAGGCTGCTCTGGCCAACAGATTTCAAGGTCAAGCCAATGCACCACAGGGAGAACATATTCACTGAAAGACTGGAGATTTTATTTTTCCATGTCGGAAGCAGCAAAGGATTTGCCGATGACATCACTGTTGCTGGAGGCACGCCCAGTTGGGGGTTCCTTTTGTGTCCCCATGAAGTTGCCTGCCAAAGGGGTACCATTAATCTACTCATGGTCACCCACTTTTGAACTACTGGGTCAGCAGGAGCTGGAGCATCAGACGGGAGCTCACCCCGTCCCGCAGCAGCAACAGGTCTTGTCTCGAACGCGAGCCTGCCGATTGTCAGCCCAGCATTCCAACTCAAGAGCCACCTCGTCCCTTGGCTGGAGACCATACAAGGGGAAAAGAGGCACTGGACTGGCCATCCACCAGTAAAGAGACAGAAGCAGGGATGCTGACTGATACCCATCCATCGTCTGCTGGAGGTAGTAAACCAGCACAGCTGCCCGTTCTCTCAGCTCTAGAGATGGGCCAGTAATGGAGAAGGTTCTTTTAACCCCAGGATATTGCTGAAGGGCCAAAGGCAAGAAGGAGACACAGTGCTGATCTACCCTGGCTGAAATTACACACATGTGCACCAGCAGCTGGCACCACTGTCTTCTTGGAGGAAATGAGACCACGAGACCAGCCAGTCAAGCTCAGGCTCTCCTGTAAAGGAAAAGGCAAGTCTTGTTCTGCGACCGAGCCCAGAGGGGAAACTGAGGTTAATGACAACTGCGATGCCTGGGCTGAGCCTGGGTGTCCCAAGAGGTTGCTGAGTTGCCTCAGAGACAGACGCGGCCGTCTGGCAGCATCCAGAGGACCTGGTTCTGTCTGACCGAGGACCCGGAGGAAGCACAAGGGCCGGAGGACTGGTGGAACGGAGGCTGAGCCCTTTCTGGCTCTTGAGGCCCAAACATCTCTTCCATTTCTGAGTGCAACTCTTTACTACAGGTCTTGCTACCAGTAGCAGCCCAACACAAAAATTAATGGACCTACCCAGAGAGGATGGGACTGGCATCTCTAATGCAAGTTTAAGAACTGTGGACTGCTGGCTACAAATGCTGGCTGGGAAATGCTAGGTGGAAGTTTTAAACTTGCCAAGGTAGAGAAATCTTCCTCTAATGGGTCGGCAATAATAACAGTCACAATTAATTGTTACTGAACACATTGGATTAAGTGTGTGCAAAAAGCACAAAAGATCAATTGTAGCGCAGAGCTTGTTTCTCGGATGCCAAAAATGGAAGATGTGACTACAACAGGCCCCTCAGTAAAGATCTGACAGTAGAGGTAAAACTTCAAAATTTGCCTTCACAAAATAGAGATAGCACAGTGAATCAGCATCCCAAGGTAGGAATTTTCTTCCATGGTGGTGCAACTTTCTGAAGAGAGACCAGTGAGCCCCTAACTCCAAGCATTTTGTGTGAAATTATTCGGTAACCACATCAGAAGGGGAACCATTCTACATGCCATCGTTGTGGCAGAGTCAGAATTACTGCAGCTCAGAATGTAAGCATTGCTGCCTCTTGTTCCAAAGCAATTACGACCAGCAAAGCAATTACAGATAGTCCTCAACTTATGACCGAAGAGCTGAGCTCTCTTTCTGAACCTGCCAAAGTCATCCTGTCTGCAGAGGGGAGCCAAACTCCTCCTGAAGATCCGAGCTCTGTTCCTGCACCTGACCGGAGCTCCCTTCCGTGCACAGAGGAGGACGGATATCCTCCTGCAGGGTTAATAACGGATGGTTCAAGCTCCATTTCTGCATCCTGCAGAAGGTGTTGCAGAGGGGAGCGGACATCCTCCGGCAGGCAGCTCTTTCAACCAGCCCCTAAAGAGAAGAGGGAGCTGAAATCCAAGCAGAGAGGCCGTGCAGTCAGTTAAGGAGCACGGGGTGCCTTCGGGCCCTGGGGGAGGCCCTGGGAAGCCTGTCGCTGGCCACCTGTGAGCGCCTCTCCCCCAGGGGCTGAAAACCTTGCTTGGATTTTAGCAGGGAGGATTTTCAACTCATGAGCAGAGCCACCCACCCCACCCACCTGTACTCTTTACCAGAGACTCAGGCCACTTAATCCACGCATCACTTAATGACTGCAACAGGAGTGCCAAAACTGCACTTGTTAAGCAAAGCAGTCATGTGACATCTTGCTTAACCACCATTTCGCTAAATGACTGAGATTCCGGGCCCAATTGTGGCCATTAAGTATGAACTACCTGTACGACTCTCCAAGAACCCACACAGTATGTGGGCTGCACCACAGACTGAAGCTGCAGTCAGCCAAGGCAGAAGCAAGCACTGGCTGGGCAATTCAATAGGCTTCCCGTAGAACGTCTTGTTCTAATCTGTTGAGGAATACAACTGAAGAATGTTGAAGAATACAACTATCCTCATCTGCCTGGCTAGAGATAATGTAGATTTTAGTTCCATTTTGGGAAAGTAGCAAGAAAGATCTGCTACTTTTTATGGCCCACAAAACAAATCAATATATGGATCCACATCTACTGAATTTACCTTTTTATCCTGCATTTCTACATTAAAGGCTGGAACGTATTCAGTATGTGTTTTTGATGGCTCTTTAACAGAGACTTTCAACCTGATTATTCACAGATCTCAGAGTATCCTGAACGGAACCTGGTCTTTTAGGAAGCCTGAGGCTGTTTCAAAGTTTTCTATGCAAAACAACTCCTACGAAGTGAAGGCAGCTGGGAAGGTCACGCTTCCCAGCAGGCCTCCCAAGCTTTGCCTCCTCACCTGTGTTGGAGCGCTGCAGGAGAGACGGCTTGGCTGTTCCCGTGGACAAGCTAGAGGAGGGGACCGAGAGAGACTTGTACAGGGCTGTCTCACGATGCTCCTTGAAACGCTCGGCTGCCATCAGGGCATTGGAGAGCTCCTGCAGGGGCATGTTGTTGATATCCGAAGAGAAGGGGCTCAGTGGATTTTCTAGGCTCATCAGCCAACTGGTGTTACCTAAGGAAAGAGAAGCGCGTAGCTAGGGAGAGCCCCGTCAAGCTGGGCAGCCTCATCTGGGGAGAGACGGACAAAACTCCCTTCCAAGGCTTTTCCCCCAAAGCTTCTTTTGATACAATTGAACAATTTGGAGTCATCTGTCCCAGGAATCTCCGGATACCCCAACTTGGCCAATTGGTAGACTGGCTGAAATCCAGCTCCCCAAAGAATCTGAATTCTCCAGCCCTAATCCAGTCTGACTGAAGGTTGCCCTTCTAGCAATCTATGGCACTTCTTTCCCAGCCCAGCTCCAGACTGGATCCCTTTGAAAGGGCCAGCAGGATCACCTTCTGTTCTCCACAACCCTCCGGAACACAGATGTCAACAGAGTCCCCTGATGGAGAGCGCTCCCCCATCTCCCAGCTGCCCCCATTCCCTTGGCCCGCACATGAAGACACGCTCCCAGTGCTAGTTACCTTAGTGCACCTACCTGTTGGCCTCCGCACGGATATTTCTGCCCAGCCTTGAGTGAGGAGGGGGACGTAAGCAGCCAGATTGGCCTTCTCGGTTTGGGGAGCAGGAGCAGGAGAGCTTGGGGGCGCCTGGGGTCCTGGGCTGGCTGAGAAGTGAGAGGCAGAGCTGTCCAGAGCACCAACCCGCAAAGCGTGGCCTCCTGCACAAGAGGGGAAGTCACAGAGCTGCATCTGATCCCAAGCTCAATCGAAGCCCAGGAAGGGCAACACAGAAGGGACACGTCTAGCCTGGGCGACTAAAGGAGAAGCAGGTGATCCCTTTCCGGAGACGTGGAGTTCAAAATACATGCACAATTGTACTTGTGCCTTTCTCTGCCAGTGCAGCAGGTGGACCTTTTCCAT